GGAGGGGGAGGAGGAGGAGGAGGAGAGAAGAAGAAGGTGTGAGGATTGAGCCCTCAAGTAGGGGCCTTGCCATGGTGTACATGTTCTGGGCTAAGGCCCCAGCAAGCCTCGTGCCCGCCCTAAGTGAAGGCGGGCCAGCAAATCAACAAGAGCCCTCTGTGCCAACATTTCACGAAGTGGGGTCCATACAGTTGCAGCACGCCAGTTGGTTGGAGTGCACCGAGTCTCGGATTTCAGCAAATGCTGAAAGCCCAGGGCCTCTGAATTAGTTAGGCCATGGGCACTTGAACGTGAGGCCGATAATGCATGCTGGGTATAGAGGCCGAAAATGCCAATGGGAAATCGGCCCACTATCTGAATCTGGCCGCAGGCCTTGATGAAGGAGGCGCAACTGCATTGCCCCGGGGCCCAACTGTATCGGGCTGCGTTCAGCCTCTGGGCCCCGGTCACAGGCTGAAGGGAGGCCGCCCACACGCTGCACTGGCATATAGGCAAGCAGGGCGAGTGGGCAGGGATCTTGGCCATTGCGGGCAATGTCGGCACGCTGCGCTAATGCCAGCTGCTGGCTGCTGCGAGGCAGGCATGCGCTAGGCGGTAGGGCGCTGCCTGTGCACTGGGCGCTTGGCGTCCATAGCCGGGCTGCAGAGGGCGCAGAGGGGTGAAGGGCGAAGGTAGTTCTTCGGAGGTGAAGGGTGCTGTGAGGGTAACAGGGAAGAGTGTGGGTGACGAGGACACGTACCTGGTGGAGGTGGAGGTCGGCATTGGTGTTGACATCATCACTTGCTGGTAGTCAAGTTGTCTGGTTGCTTTCATTGCTGTAGTTGTAGGTGCAATCAGACTAGACTTCTTCACACTTGTCATGCATGCAAACAGCGAAACAGCAAACTGGCGACATGCGCCCACACAGTACTCAAAGATATCGTAACCAGGTAGGAGTTCCCTTCAAACTCGCTATGGCGACTGAGCGCCCACACAACTCACTGTTCGCACTCTGGATCACCCTGGATGTCCCACACACAACACTCTACACGCAACACACACACACACACACACGCTACTATAGCTATGGCAGCTATGGCTGCCACTATCCTATCGCTACACTACACTTCACTGCCCTCTTCGTCTTCGGGCGCACTGCAGACCTCCTCGCACAAGCTGCTGAGGCAGCGCTTCCGCATGGCATCCGCAGGCATGAATGAATGGCTGGGCGCAGCCTCTTGATTTATACTTCTGCGCTGTGTTGGTCTGCCCTGTATCCCTTGTCCCACGATGTGCTCACAGTCCCAGACGGTACTTGCTGAACAGGACCGGACTGACTGACTGGGACTGCTGACTGGGCTAGGTGGACTACCACCACTTGACCACTTGCCTCTGCTGAACACAGGCCAACTCCGAAAGGCCACTTCTAGAACTCTCGAACTTGGCCTTTCGGTGCTGTAGCAGCTACGACTTTGCCCTTTCARGTAAGTAGCAGCTACGACCTTGACTCTTCAGGCATCCTACAGCTACAACTTCGGAACTGTCTAGACTCCTACTCTACAGGTCTACAGTTCGATTCCCTTCTACCCTGTGACCTACGAAACCCTGCCTACCACTGGCGGTCCTACAGGTCGCGGGTTCAAGTCTACGGGTTGACATCCGTACTGTACACAGGTAAGATGGGGAACTAGGGATCGAGCCCTAGGATCTGCATTCGCTACTGCGAACTGGTGAATACCGTTTCACTCCCGCCGGCCTAAATTCGAGATCCTCCGAGAAAATTTCAGTCCAAGGCAGGACCTTTACCCTTCTGCTGTCTCTCATAGGCCCGGACTATATCGGGAGATGTCTCTAGAAGTTCGGATCTTGTAAACAAGCGATCGTCTTCCGGTTCTTGATAACTGAAATGAACCTTGTACGGTTTCTGCGGACGACCCCTACCTCCAGTTCTGAAAACATCTTCAGCCACTATACCATCTATGTCGTATCTTCCATCCATATCCGGTGGGATCATCGATCTACGGGATGGAAACTGGTCACTTGTCTGACAAGGTAACAACTTTGACGCATGGAAAACTGGGTAAGTGTGGAGGTGTGCTGGTAGCTCTATGGTATAGGACGGTCCATCTTCGCCGCCCTTGACCTCTAGAACAGGCCACGGTCCTCTATATGTGGGCAGTAACTTCTGCGAGATGTTCTCCTCTGGCGCAAACTCTTTGGAACTAACCCAGACTAAGTCGCCTACTTGGAACTGTGAAGGGCGACCATGTTTGTTCGCTTGCTCTATCATCTTATGCTGGGCTTTCCTGAGGTTTTCTACAACGGTAGCTAGTTCTCTCTCGTGCTGCACAGCAAACTCTCGGGTCCCGGGCAGCAATCTGTGAATCTGATCCTGGTTGAGTCCCTCAAACGGTCTGCGCGGTCTAAAGGACTTGTGCAGTTCGTTGGGAGTGCGACATGTAGACAGATGCACGCTGTTATTGTACGCACTAGCTACTTTGGGCAACATCTCATCCCAGAACTTGCTGTAGGATTTTGTTCATTTGCTCCGTCTGACCGTTAGTCTTTGGATGACGGTCGGACGACATCAACAACTTGGATCCATACACTCCCATGAGTTCTTGCCAGTTCTGGCTGGTGAAACGACTATCTCTATCACTAACTATTGACAGCGGGATTCCGTTCTCACTAACCCAACAGTCAAAGAACCTCTGTATGACTAAATCAGTACGCGCCTCTGAAGGCAAAGAAACAAAAACTGCGTACTTGCTAAAGCGGTCAACTATGACCATGACTTGGCTCTTGCCATGCCTGCTCTTGACTTGAGTGTCCATGAAATCKATTGACACTGAGTCTCCCGGCTGATCCGGAATGGGCAAGGGTCTGAGAAGACCTAGCGGGGCACGCGTAGAACTCTTATTACGCTGGCAGACTTTGCAACTGCGAACATACTCTATGCAGTCATTCTTCATCCCTGGCCAGGTATACGCACGTATAAGATTGGCTAAAGTCTTTTGCCAACCAAAATGACCCTCTGTGTCATGGCATTCGCCCAGAATCAGACTACGAATCTCTTCGCTATTGGGGATGCACAGGCGGTCAGACACATTAGTCTTCTCAAAAAGCAACCCTTCAGTAGTGCGGTAATTCGGTTCAGTCTCTGGGGCCTCCTTGACTTTCTTAAGGAGCTCACTGTAGATAGGGTCCTGCGCGTAAGCTTCTCTAACCCTCTGCTGCAGGTCCTTCCCTATATCGAGGTAATGTACTATTGCCCCAAAGTAATCCGCTCTCCTACTCAGAGCATCCGCGACTACGTTGTACTTCCCTTTGACAGGCTTGAGCTCAAAGTCATACTGATCTATCTCTGCGGCCCACCTAGTAAGCTTAGGTGTCATCTTGGCCTGCGTCTTTAACCATCGTAATGTCTCATGGTCAGAATAAACTTTGAAGTGCCTCCCAAGCAAGTAGTGCTTCCAATGGTCTAAGGCTTGCCTGAGAGTGTAGAGTTCCCTTTCATAGGTAGATGTCGCGACCTTCTCTGAAGGCATCCTGGCGGACATGAACTCTACGGGTCTATAGCCATTCCCATCGTCTTACTGTAACACTGCGCCTATGCCGTACTGGCTAGCATCCGTAGTAACGACAAAAGGCAAGGACGGATCGGCGACCTTAAGGACCGGATACTCTATCAATGCCTGCTTTAGCTTCTTCATGGCAGACGTGCAGTCCTTGTCCCACTTCCAGATTGTCTCTTTTCTTAGCAATCTGCGAAGGGGCGCAGCGATGGTGGAGAAGTTCCTCACGAACTTCCTATAGTAGTTAGCTAGGCCCAGGAACGAGCGCAACTCTGTCAGCGTACGTGGCGTGGGCCAATCTCTAATCGCTGCGATCTTGCTATCTTCTGGCTTAACGCCGTCTCCGTCTAAGATGTGGCCTAGCTACAAAACTTGGGTCTTTGCCCAATCGCACTTCTTTGCATTGATCTTGAACTTAACTTCCCTCAACTTCTCCAAGACCTGCTTGAGATGACCCTGATGCTCTTCGAGGGTCCTGCTAAACACTAGAATGTCATCTAGATAAACTACAACAAACCTGTCTAAACAAATCGTTCATACAGCGCTGGAACGTAGCTGGCGCATTGGTTAGTCCAAAGGGCATCACTATGAACTCGTAGTGCCCATATCTAGTCCGGAAGGCCGTCTTGTACTGATCATCAGGATGTACCTCTATCTGATGATATCCGGACTTCAAATCTATCTTGGAGAAATACTTCGCCCCCTGCACTCGATCTAAAAGATCGTCTATCCTAGGCAGTGGCTCAACATTCTTCACTGTAATGGCATTCAGACCCCTATAGTCTATACACATCCTCAGCTCTCCCTCTTTCTTAGGGACAAAGAGAACAGGGGATCCAAAAGGAGACGAACTGGGCCTAATCCAACCCTTTTCAAGGAGCTCGTCCAACTGTTTCCGCAGCTCCTCTAACTCCAGCGGGGACATCCTACACACCGCACCCTTAGGAGTTCTACTGCCAGGCTCTATCTCAATAGGCCGCGGCACCGTGCCTGTCGGCGTCTCAGTCAAATCCTTAAACTCTTCCAGCAGCTTGGCAATCGCAGGGTCCATCGGCTTCTCTTYCGTAGGCTYAGTGACGGGCCTAACATAGGCAACAAAGACATGTTCCTCTAATTTCTCCTTCTTCACCAATCTGGCGAACGCAGGGGCACTAAGGCAGCAATGTGCCAAGGAATTCTCTACTCCTGACACATGAAACAGGCGGGCAGTCTTAGCCTCGCCTGCAGAACGAGGGAGTCTACATTCGTGCTCCTTCAGATGGAGCGTTGCCCCGGCTGCCTCTCCCAATCCATTCCCAGTACTATATCAAATGGGAGGTTGTCCTCTACGAGGAGAGTCAGGGAGTGGAGGACCTTCTCCACCTTCCCATCTTTCTCTAGGCGGAAATACGCCTGAACTCCCTCTACGTAATCCTCTACAACCATG